TTATATAATAAATTTTACAACACTTAAATCAGTTTCATAGACTAATTTTTTGGTTATAAGGCAAGACCAATTTGATTTTGTGTTTTACATTATCTCCCCACCTTCCTTTTAATAAATTTTATATATTATATAGTCAATCCCCCTCTCCAGAAGGGAGAAGAAGTAATTTAAAACACAGAATCAAGTTGGTCTCACCTAAGCATTTGTCTTGCATTACAGCCAGTGTTGGCCTATGATCTTAAATGACCTATATGACCTTTATGACCTTTATGACCTGTCATAGGTTATTCGGTCATAACGAGGATTATGACCTTTTTTAATATGGTAAGAATCATAGTAAAAGTTTTTTTTTGTTAGCATTTAATATGACCGATATGACTATGACCAAAAGTCATATGATTATATGACCAAGGTCATATATATAAAAAAGTTATAACTTAGGTCATCGGCCAACACTGATTACAGCTGGTCTTGAAATTTGGTTGATCAGCAAAACTTTTTGCCGCACGCATAATTTTGCAATTACCGGCGCATAATCCTGGATGATCATAAACTAATGTTTTTGTTATTTTAAAAATTGTTGTTTTGATCAAATCTGCTACTGGGTAGTTCCCAAACTATATATTTTGTATTATAGCATTGCACACCCTACCGTAACGCCTTAAAATATCCTGGTAAGCAAAGCATGCCTTTTCTTTTGTTTCTTTTGTTTCATAACATTGAACTTATTTTATGAATATAGCTTTTGGGAGAGTGTGGAAAAACCTTCGCTTATAAAATTTTTAGAATTTCGTTTACGCGAAGGCAATTTAGGTGATTCGAAAACGGAGCACCGCCGTTACAGTGAAGAACCAGATACTATCACAGAATACTTATCTGATTCACGTGAGATTGTGGAGAAAGTGAACAAATGGAAAATTTCATTTAAAGTATTTATTTTACCTGCCTGCGTTGCCTAGCTCCGTCATCAACTACCCTGTCAAATGCTGTTTGGCAGTGGGAAAGAACCGCGTTTCTGTTGGTGAGCATAATGTTAGTTGGTGAACATTATGTTAGTGGGCTAGTGACAACAACTCACAAACTACCTTGTCAAATGCTGTTTGGCAGTGGGAAAGAACCGCGTTTCTGTTTGTGAACAGGCAATGTTTTTTTCATTAGTTCTTACTTGTTCTACAGATAATTTTGTCATTGTAAATGTCGGCACGTCCAATGTTATTAATATTATTAGAATGATAAAAATTCCAAAAAGTAAAAGATTTCTGGAAATTGCACGAAGTTATTCAAAGCGAGAACGTCTACGACAAGTAAGTTATCTGGTACATTCGAAAATCTTAGTGACTTTTTTGTTTGACAGTATCCATAATTTATAATTTGGATGTGATCCGAGAAGGACAAACTAGATGATCTGAAAGATCAAATCAGTGTTGAACAGGTTAGTATTTTGGCTTGACATTTAATCGCATCTGTTCTTAATACACTGAAAGTTCATTTTTAGGTGCAACATGTATTGAGCACAACAAGAGAAACACTATCCTAAAATCTCGAATTACAAAAAACCGTCATTAAACAGCACTTGTTGGGCGAGACGAATGCCGGATCAAAAACCGGACAAATACGAAATCGTGTGAGTATTTAGTTACATTTATTTCTATGTTCGTAATAAATTTGACTTTTCTCCTCTTCATCTATGGTTCGGGCTTCCCGAAAAATAAAGAACATGAACCTGATTCTGATGATCAGGAGGAAAAATATCAGCAAAGTTCACAACAGAAGAGGAAATGTACGTAAGCTTCGTTACGTTTTTATTCTTGTTGCTATCTGTTATTAATCAGTTATCATTCATTTTGCTCAAGCGAACCAGTTGTGGACGCTGAAAATAATCCGTTTTTAGGATCTAAGAATAATTTAGACGGAGGGAATGAATCTGTTTTGTCTCTTTCGGATACTGAAATTGTGCTCAATTTCCCAGCAATAATAAATGATGTCATAGGACTAGAATTGGGACCATTGCCTCAAAAGAGTCCAGATAGTTCATAAATGAAACGGACATCTCTGAGCGATGGCATTTGTTTAAGGAAAAATCATTAGAATTGGCAATAGAGAAGGCCTTTTTTGTGGAAAGCCATACACAGCAGACATTGTATATTTTCAATTTTTTCATTTACTAAGGTAGTTAGTGATGCAAACGGCTAGCTCTACGCGGAAAATGGCTCGCTATAACAGAGCTGAGTTATTTTTGAACCGAGCCGCTTTTTAACCAAGCCGTCTTTTGACCAAGTTGTTTTTAGCAGGGCTGATTGAGAGCCAGTTAAAATGCGGCTATAATTTTATTGTCATCACTTTTATTATAAAAATTCTTTAGAATACATTAATCTTATTTTCATTGTTTTTATTATAAAAAAATTCTTTAATTAAATTTAGTATTAGCATTAATGTTATTGTATGCATAAAATATATATATTTTTTTTTTGAGTTAAGGAGATCTCTTTGGCCTGAAAGCTTTTATTAGGATTTGAAATGGTGTTTTATACGCAATTACAACAATGGTACATCAAGCCACACGTGCATCTTTTGAGTGCCTAATTTAAGTAGTTCGCCCAAAGGTTCTACACTATCTGCCGTACCTGCACCCCAACTAGAGGAGTGCCCATTTAAACCATCTGGTTATAACTACCACCGGTTAACCACCTAACCCCAGGTTTACTCACCATTTATATATGGAT